ACAACAACAACAACAAAAAATAGTCATTCACATCACAGCAGAAATTTTTAAACATACTTTGGCTTAAATGATATTTATGATAATAAGTTTCATTGAATCGCGTTAGTATTTACCGAACTTACTCCTGTAAGCTCCCCAGATTCATAACGATTAGACGAAGCTCTTCTTGACCGCTGATGATAGAGGGTATTTGGGTGCAGATTAAGGTTAAGGTCATCCGTCACTTCACTTTGGGTTTGGTCCTGAACTTTTTTATGCTACATAAATAAAATGTGATATTTACTTGTTTGAAGAAAAATGGTTTTAAAAACATCGATTTTGGATAAGAAATTATAAGATCAACTTTTTTTTGTGTACAAGGGTTTTTCGTTTCAATCTAAAACAATCAGTAATTAATAATTACAAATGGTATTGATAGGGTAGCATTTATGCTAATATTTTTGAATGAATTTTTTAAAGATCAATAGCATACTTAGTTTTAGATGATAAGAAATCAGTTATCAAAGAGTTTTTTATTTTTGCTATTGCCAAGTTTTTTCGCTTTTATCAAGTCAGATTACAGTTGCGATTTTAGTTACCATAATAATTATTTTCCGCTATATATAGATAACCAAAACAACACTAATGGTTACGATTTTTTGTTCTTTTCTTTTAGTTGGTAAAGCATTAGTAATGGTCGTTTTTGTGTTTGTAAATTACCAACACAATCATATTTATTGGGTGTTCTGGTCGTGTGTAACTAAAACAATGGCGGAGGTCTTGTGTTTCTGTAGGTAGAAGGCTATAACTGTGATTGATGAAACCTCGGTGTTAAACAAATAAATGTAACAACTGCGATTACTGTGTGAGTCACTCTGAAAATGTAACGATTATTCATTTCCATTTGTAGTGCTAATGATAGACGAAACTCTTACAGAATACTATAACGTGTGGGTATGGGTTTCATACAAATTGGAGTCGCAAATTTACTTCCCTGGTTGACTAGTTTAATACTGTCTCTTAAAAGCCGAAGCCTTCCGTAGATGCGTCTGACAGATTCTATAATACTTGGACTTCATGTCTCAGACGAGTCAAAAAACGGGTAGAGAAAGTTTCAGCATTTAGGCCTAATAAAGCCCTTATCTTAAGCAGCTTAAACTGTTTGACGAAAGATTAAAATTTCCCTTCTTTATCGTTGTTGCTTTTCCACATCGTAGTGCTTTAATTTTTATCGTAGTTTACTGGAAATATGGTATATAAAGTCTATAAATCTAAGTAATATGTTTGTAGCTTCATAAAATACTTGTATATTGTATAAGTTAAATACTTTGGCCTCCTCAATCTTGTACTTGGGATTTTTCATCCATGTTGATTGACGTCTCACTAAACCCACAAGTATAAAACTCAAGATATTTTTAAACGATACGGGCTTTAGAGAGATGATTATAAGACAGTCTAGTGGATAGTAAATAAATTATACGGAATAAAGTCTTACCTGTTTGATTTTTTCTCTGTTTAGACATTTTCGATAAAACATCCAAAATAAGAAAGCTACAAGTGGAGCAAATCCTAGTATGGCTACAATTGGCAACACAGTTGCTGTTATATTGATTCCTTGCGTTCCCTCATTCTTGCCGTCTCCAGCAGTGCCCTCTTTCGAACCGCCAGGGTGTATTGTTGTTCCGCTTCCTTCGGTAGAGGAAGAGATGGAGGTGGAGGTAATTGAGGGGGTGGAGGCAGTGATTTTGGGGGGCTGCGAAGTGATGGGGGATATCGTCTGGGGCGGTTTGATTGGGGAAGGGACAACGGTGGGGGGGTTAGGTAAGAAGGGATAGGAGGCAGGATTCGGCTGATAAGGCGGAAAGGGCCGACGCCCCGTTCCTTTATCTGGCTTCCCATGAATGGAGAAATCATCGATAGGATAACCTTCTTCAGGACTATCATTAGGCTTCAGTATTCGTACATAAACTTCAATCTTGGACTGTATACATAAAAATATTTCTTTAGTTAAAATGTTTATAGGCGTCCTATACATTAGAAAAATGTTGTTGATGAAGTAAAGTTATATTTAGTTTGCATGAAAAGTCTTTAACAGTTACATGGGTGATATTCTGGCTCGCTACAAAACATCTTCTGCCAACCTTTATTTTTTTTTACTTTATAATTCTTGGTTTCAAAACTACGAAAAAATTGTAGTACTTCTAGACCTTTTGATAATTCGTTGATTTTTTTTTCTTAAAACAAAATATACACGTTTGCTAAATTTATATCAGTTGTATAGAAATAAATAAGATAAATAATCCATAAATGGTAAGCCTTTAGCCATTTATTAGTTTTATCCAGCTGTATAATAGACTTTACAGTATTATTGATGTTGAAGACCCGACTTAGAATTAGACTTCATTTCCAATATTCCCAAAAGGTGAAAAACAGCAAAATATAATACCTATTGGATCCAGTTGCATTATTGTTTTTGTTGTTTGTTTTTGAAGTTAAGCACAAAGCTACACAATGGGCTATCTGCCACCACGGGTATCGAAACCCGGTTTCTAGCGTTGTAAGTCCGCAGACATACCGCTGTGCCACTGGGGAGCAGATTGGTATTGCCCAGTTGTATTAAGTTGAAATGGATTAAAAACATTACGCACTAAACCATAAATAAATAAATATGTATGTCAAATAGTTAGTAAATGGACTAACGAGACGAATGAAAAAGGCGATTCCAGTTCCAAAAGTAATCGTCACTAGGGTCGTTGATCGTCAAATTTGCACGACCGAAATCTAATAATGTTTGACGTAACTACCATTCATAATCATGCTATTTACATTTATTAGAGAATGTAAAGGTGTTTATATGTTAGGCTTACGGTTCATTTTAAAACTACAATATTAATATTCACCCTCTATAATATTTTAAAAATTAAAACATACGTTTTGGAAAAAAAAATAATTTTATGATTTTTATTGATATCAGCTAAATACAAAACACAAAAGGTTTTGAGTACGAGTTTATCCGAAAGTAAATATTTAAATTTACGTCAACAGTGATTGAAAAAAAACTGGCATGGAAACAGGAAATATATGACTTTGTAGCAACTGAAGAAACGCTACCTAACGGGTTCATTAAATTCTAGCGAATTCACATACTAGTGTATATTATGTTAATAATTGCTTACTGGAACAACATTTTAATTAAAGAAGTATCTGGAAGCCAAAATTATAATTGTTTTGAACAAGTTAGCTCATCATGTTATTGTAATATAGGAAGATTATCGATTTCTTACTTAATAATTATTAAGTTTATTTTATTTTTTAAACAGTGTATGTCGCAATACTTATAATTATGAGCTTTCACGTGAGATGATCTCAAGACTTTGCATGATTATTCTTGTCTGTTTGATGAGAGATTAAAAATTGTCTTTTCCCCATCTTTTCCCCAAATTATTTATGATTATTTCAAAATTTCCCTCTTACCGTTTGATGACCATCGTTAGCTGTGATGAACAAGTAGTAATCGTTTCCAGCCTGAAAAATAAATAATAATAACATGTAACAATTCTACACAAAACTGTTTTAAAATGACGAAAAAACAAACAAAATATAGATATAGAACTTACAGTCGTGAAGGTAAACTTTTCGCGTCTTTTACTGAATTTTCACGCACGAAGACTAAATTATTTTCATTTTCAGTACTCGGTTTGAATAACAAGTAGACAAGCGAACATTGAAAAAACAAAAATTCTCCGAGTTTTACGTCATTTTAAACTCTCATTTCATTGCCACATCTAAGCATGTCGCATAAAAACACTTTTAATTCAAGGAAGCAGTTTTAATGATAACAAGTGAAATGAGTAAATAATTCTATTAGAAAGTTGGAAGTGTCCAGAGTTCGAGATATTTGCTAAGGTCACATTTAGTTCTTGACCTTAAGCTACTTATCTCTCTCTTGTACCTTTCAGTAAATTTTCAAGTTTCACGTAAAAGGCAGAAAAATATATACACATGCTGTAAAGTTCGAAGAATTTCTTAGAACCAATGTCATAAAAAAAGCAGTCTTAACCACTTCAGTTGTTTGAGTTGAGGCATTGTCATGGAGCAGCAGAACAAACTTTTGAGGTTTGCTACTACTTCTGTTCATCGCCTTGTCTTTCAAGAAGTAGGCCTAATAAGGCATTAAAAACTACTTTACTAGAATAGCAACCCTTTCAGCAGCTTGTCAAGTAAGAACACCTAGGTTTTCAAAACATAATTAAAAAAAAAAGAAGAAGAAAGCAATGACGATGATCTCTGATTCTAGATTTTTATGTTTGCTTTGATCGACCTTTGGTCTCTATAATCCCGAATTCAACGAGCGCCTTCAATAACTTCTGAACTTTAATCATACCTTCTGGACTTTATTTTAATCATACCAATATCTATTGTCCGCATTCCATTTTACTTAATATGACACTCAACGTACACAAACGTATTTACAACATGTCATTACTATCTTTAATGTTTCATCTATATTCAGAACGTCGTTACACATTTTACAATCACAAATGAATTCCAGTTGTCGCGTGGACCGGGTGTGATCCATCGGTTAGCGTGCCGGACTGTGGTTCAAAGGTTCCATGGTTCGCTAAAACAAATCATACTCCCAGTGGTTAACTTGGGATTTTGTGATCCTCTTTGACATTCCAATCAGAAAATCAGGTACGCTAATGGCTTGAAACCTAAAAAGGTGAAACTACGTTTCGGACCGTTCCGCCCCAATTTAACCCATTGCACGCTCAGCAGTTTGGAGCCAAGGGTGTGTTATAAGAGTGACGTTTAAGTCCTAATATTTGATCTGTTGTTAAGATCTGTTTTTGTTGTTAAGCAGAAAGCTACACAATAAGCTATATGTGTTGTGCCCACCATGAGTATCGAAACTTAATTTTTAGAGTTATAAGCCTTCAGACTTATATAGAAGTGTGTGTGTGTGTGTGTCGTATGAAATTGTAAGTTTCATGTGCAATTAATCTGGATACAAGTTATATATAACTACGATTGTTACCTCCTGCATTTATGGTGATTTTATTACAAACGCTAGATTAAATCACACCCATATAAACTTTGTTAACTTTTTTAACATAATTAATCATAGCAACTGATGTATTGTTTAAATTCACATATTTCTTGTACCATTCTTGGAAGTGTGGTTGAATAACATAGGGTCATACAAATAAACATCGAACTAACGTTTAAAAATGTAAACATTTGATATTCAAACGTTCGATAATGTTAAATTGTTTTTAAAATATGCACAAGTTTGCAATATAAACGTTATAAATAATATGAAGTTCTTAAAGCATTTTATATAATATTATGCAGTTGCCAACAAAAGAGAATTATAATTTTCTGATATATTTAAATATTTATCCTTCGTGTATTGAATCGAACAAAGTTATAATTGCTAAAGTTATTACTTATATGGTGCAAGTAATAACTATTATTTAAATCTAACTCTCACGACAATTAGGATTGAAAAAAATTGCAATTTGTAATCCTTTTTAAAACATTATGACAGTTTTAATTGCTTTTAAGCGAATTACAATTCATACAGAAAGGTTTCGCCTCTGCACGATTCTTCATAAAATTAAAGTAATATTTTATAGTTGTAGTGAAAAGCGATAAGACCAATAAATTATTTGCAATAGAATGAGCTCTATAAAAAAAAACTACACAGTAGTTTTGGATATGAGTAACATGCAAAGGTAAAGTTAAAACAGACAAGACATCAACGAAATTAATACTCTCCAAAATACATTTTGTATATACCGCTTAATACCTTGACCTTCACATACTTTATATGACCTTCCCTTAAGTCATGACGAGAGCCAAAATTACGATGGAGTGACAAAGATAAAGTGTAGAGACTATCAAGTGTAATCAACATAAATTTTGTGCCAAGAAAGCAGTAGTGTTCTAAATAAAAATATGTTATAAAACCCTTGATAGTTAAGTTGTTAGATCTTTGTATAAAAAAAAATAACAAAAAACATAAAACTTGTTACAAATGGATGAATAGGTTGTCATATAATTTTGGAAGAAAGCAAGAAACAATGTATACACCTGTCATAGCATAAACTCTACAAAACATTAATTTATATTTCATAGCCCCATCAGTTCCGCTAGATGAACCAAAGGGACACCTTGAGGTCTTATATCCTTATACTTTCATTATGTTGTAAAATGGAAACGTCAAGAAATGAAATGGCTTATACTAGTCAGCATGTGAATTTCAGTTTCCCTGTAACAAGATAATATGGGTCTCCTGAATACGATAATCTGTCTAGAAACGTTCATACGTTCACAAATTACCAATAGTGATAATCACATACATAGGTGTACGAGATTGGGGGGGGGGTAGTCCCCCAGTTTTTCAATGCATACGGCCATTCGGGCAAAATTAGAAGTAGAAAATATGGTGATTTGGGCAATTTTTACCTTCATTCGGAAAACCTGGTAGCAGAAGTTTCTTACAGTCTCGCTCATAGCCTCATTCGGGCAAAAATTGTACAGCCTCCCCTCTGAAAAAATCCCCTATGAACACATAGATGTGTGTTTGGAAACATATTTAGGATCCAAGTTTAAATTGTATAAACCTTTATCATAAACAGTTCATAAATATATAGCCTCAATAAGTTACTTATCTTTATTATAATCTTTTCAAATTATATTTAATGCGATACAAGTTTTGAAGCACCAGATATGTAATTGTTGACCATACTATTTTCTTGTTATTCGAATATTCTTATTAATGAGAGAATATGCCCTAAAAAGCGACGTTTCATAAAATAAAAATAAATAGCGATATGCGAGTTGTATTTTCACTGTGAGGACAATTTTTATGTCTCTTCAATGTCTGGATATGTCTGTTAAATGGCACGAAGACATCGAGATCTTGCGACTGGTCGAATGCTTATTTACACTCATTGACACAAATAAAATGTTGATTATGAGGAAAGTGAATTCGTGTTTCTTGTTTATGGTGTAATTTTCCATTCAAAAGATGGCAGACTAATTTTCGCAAGTGCTCGTAATTCAGGTTGGACAAGTGAAGTAACATAAAAATAATCAACAGGTATTAAGGATAAATCTAGTCAAAGCTTTAATTTCCAAGGACTGTGTTGATTGCAATGTAATGTTTAAGCGAGATTAACGTACTGGAGTGACAATAACTGTGAATTGAATGAAGTTAGATTATAAAAGTTTTTTATATTAGTTACTAGCTGAAGTATCCGTCCGTTGGACAGGTGAAATGAAATCTCGTTTGCAACAAAAGATAGGAAATAGTGCTTCTATTTTTTCTTAACATAATAAACATTAAAAGTGCAATAGAAATACATAAAGGTACCAATACTGAAAAAAAGACATACTGTTTTAAAGAATTCTATCAATATGAAATTAGATGGGGGGTTCAAACCCCCCCCCCCCGTCCATGACCTTCCTCATGCCACCCTGTATCACTGTGTCAAGTTGTGCTGATTTGGTGGTTTTTCCGATATTCGACATGAAATTAGATGGGGGGTCCACCCTCCTCATGTCATCCTATATCACTGTGTCAGTTTGGTGCTGATTGATCAAGAAATGTGGAAACGTATAACGAAAAGATGGTTAGACATACTAACGTTAATTTATTTAGATTAGTATTACTGTGGGGACTTAGAGATTCCCCCACTCATAGCACATTAATCTTTAGATACTAAGGAAAATGTCCATCTTTTTGATGACACCGAGTTCCCTACACCAAATTTGTGCCAAGAGTAAGAAAACTGAAACTTGTTTATAACAGATGGTAATCAGATCATTATTCTCCATGCTGCCGGTGTTGAAAGTTTATGCCAAATGTCTTCACACTCTTACATATTGCACTGTTCTTATGTCAAAAGTTTGTTCGTTTTGTTTTATAGAAAGACCCCACTAGGCTATCTCTGTTTTCACCGCATGGAATCGAAACCCGAATTTTAGCATTTTACCTCCGTAAACTTACCGCTGACCCACCGTGGGACACTTTTTTTTTTTTACTTATCAATGATTTCAACCTAAAATATTAAAAACTATATTCAACTGAAATATTCACTGTATATTTTAATTAATGGTCACGTGACTTAGGCTAAAGCCAAGTGAATGGAATGTGATTTTTTTTATTTAGTACAAATTATATTTTCATATATTTTTTATTTTACTTTAATGAATGTATTACATACATGACCGATATTTGGGGTATTTCTCGAGAAAAAGATTGGGGGGAGAACAAGCTCCCTTGCCCCTACAAATAATTCGTTCTGATGAATTAATGCTTAACGTGAGGAGGATCCAAAATTCAAACAATGTAAGTCCAAAGATAAAATGGCATCCAGCAGATGATTGACTTTTTCTAATTGCGTAATTTCATCAGCGATTGTGACAGCAGCTAGCTACAGCGAACATTAATCAGTGAATCGAAGTGATCACTCTGATTTTACGCATTCTTTCGTAACTGTAATCTTCTCAGTTTA